CTCTTTATTTGATATCTATACAAGCAAACTATTGTTCAATGGATAATGACCTAAATAACTGACTCAATTTTTCTTCCCTTTTTTAATTTCTTGCTTTATTTTTACTAGTCCGGCATGTTCCGGGTGGTTCTGAAATATGTCGTCTTCTTGGATTTTCGATGCCCGGATATATCAGAATAAGTTGCATCGCTTTTCAAATATATTTACTCTCACGCTTCAGGTGTAGAAGACTGTGACCGGTAAATGCACCGAGACAATGGAAAGGGTGACCTGGGATGTCAAAGAGTTCTATGGTCAAAAGGCACAAATCAGACTGGTCGACAACAGCTCTGGTGGTTGGGGTCACATCAACTTTGATGATCTGAAAGGTGACATCACTTGAGCCTAGGGCAAAATTTCGTTACATTCAACCGGTTGCGAAATGCGATACCAGAGCAGTATAGGAAATTGATAAAGATACGGTTATAGTAAAATAAGTCAGAGTAAGGGTTCTAACCATTTAAAGTGCTAAATGCTTGTAAGCTCTTTAAAAGGTGGAAAATAAACTTACTTTTAAACTTCATGGCCTTATTGTTATTTTGTGAGTAAAAATGAAAGTGTTGCCATCAGATAGTTTGTGTTATGGGAAATACGAGATTGGTGTGAGATTGGCAAGAAATAATAACTCGATCGAGCAGGTTCCCTTTTAAACTGCATATCCTGATATTGGGTTGCCTCCAAGCACCAGTTATTTTCGTTAACGTTATCAGCCATAGTTCATTTCCAACTGACGTCAACACCGCCACACTGGATGACCTCTAACAAAGGAACTCGAATTACTTTCATTTCACTATGCCATTTAAAAATCTCCGGAATGGTTGCAGGCCGACCTATACCGTTTAAAATAAAGCACTTGATGTTTGTAAGCTCCTTAAAATGTTGGAAATAGACTTACTTTAATGTTCACCGACCTTATTTTGTGAATGAAATGAAAGTGTCGCGACCAGATTCCTTCAGTTCGTGTTTTGGGTCGAATTTTGGGAAATGCGACATTGACGTTAAATTGCCAAAAATCTTACTCGGGCAGGGATGCTAAAATTTTTTGATAAAATATTTGGGAATCCAAAAAATAGGTAATTTTCCGGTTCCTCCTGATTTCCTTATAAGAGACCTAGTTTCTTTGACGTTTAATCAATGAATTGGTGAATCGATTTAAATGTAAGTCACAAGATAATTTAATTTTTACAGACTTTATTCATAAGTTCAGGCATACATTTTACTTAAAATCACATCACCAGAATGATCGATTGAACCACACCGATAAAGCTCACTAAGCCAGGGTAATCCACTATTTCTCTCTGCCAATATAGTTTACCTACAATGTCAAAATTAGGGTAATATCGATCACAACATTTGACTAAGAAATGAGTCGTTTTCATTCCTTCCTTTATGGTTAGATATAACTTCCTTAGCGTTGTTCAT